CCCTTCCTTTATATGATACAATACATTATGTACATGTAGTTCATTAAACCCAATACATTATGTCAAGAGTGGATTATGTACATGTATCCATACCTGGTTGTTGGTGTTTTTATTAATGGTTGAATATAGTCCAGTAGCACCAGTAGACAGACCCTGTTGACCCTTATTCTATTAATGATACATTATATGATCCATTTTTAAAAGACTCTCTCATTAATCACTGACCTCTCCCTCTCTCTTCAATACAGAGTATTCCTGTACTCCCTCAGGATTATAGGCAGGAGGGACAGGAGGAGGAGTATCATCATCTTGATTGAGTGTAATTGAATAAAGTGGACCAGCTCCTTGTTGTTGTTGTTGTTGTTTTTTTTTCTATTATACATTATTGTTATTGTATGTCTGGTATTTTGTTTATTATACCTCTGCCTCTCTCTTCAGTTCATAGTATTCTTGTACTCCATTAGAATTATAGGCTGGTACTGGTGGGGGAGTATCATCATCATCATCACTAGCTCTAAGAACACTGTACTGACCTAGTGATACTATATTTAGATGCATTGTTACTATTATTAGAATTGGGGGTACCTGTTGTTGTCTAGGATACGACCCTTGACCTCGTTCAATGCAGTGAGGAGACTCTTCTCAAGGTGATGCAAACGAAGGAGGAACTCACCTAATGAATAATTAATGAATTAAATTATTAATAAAAGATAATTAATGTATCTTTAATTATTAAAATACTTTACCTTTTTCTCAACAGTTGTATATTCTTCTTTATATCTAAGTAAAGGAAAAAAAATTAAAAAATAAGTTTCACTTTTAATGTATTTTGTTTTGTTCTTTACTTTGCTATAGAGGCTTCAAGTTCTGCTATTATTTTTGTTATTTCTTCTCCTTTTTGACGAGTGTCCTCAGCTTTGGTTTCTAAATCTTTCAATTCTTTACGTAACGGATCAACTCTCTTCAACATATCAGCATAACTCAACTATAGGAGAGAGAGAAGAGGATACAATATTATCAATACAATAAGGTATAGTCGGTTTCAGTTGAGTTTGACCGGATGTTTTCATCATCAAAACGTCACGTGTAGCCCCACCCACACGCAAATAAAATGGCTGAAAATTTCATCATGCTCCTTATTTCTTGTTGTAACTTGTTTATTACCCTATTTTGGTCACTGCTAGCCCTGCAATTGACATGAAGGATCTTTGTGCTTGCTATTACCTGAAGAAAGAATCGAGAGATGCAAAATTTCAACGGACTTTCTGAGCGGCAATGGTGAAGACAAATAATGAAGGCTTAGAGAGGTACACTAGACTAAGTGAGACTTCTTTCTGGAGTGCAAAGTCTTCTTGTTCAATTATATCTTGGCCTGGAGTGCTCCTTTTGCTTTATTTGATTTTTAAATAATAAAAACATGATTATTGACATATTTAATGAGATGCAAATGATGTTCACGAAGCTTCACGTCATGAAACATCATGGCGGCTCCCTTTCATGTTGACCGGAAGAACCTCTTGAGAACCCTCCAGAGTACCTAGAGACTCCAAAATTGGTACAGATTTTCGGAAGAACCCGTTTTGCAACTATACCAAGTTTCAAGTTGCTAGCATAAATAATAGAGAAGTTATAAGGGTGGGTCAGTGGTCAAACTCAACTGAAACCGACTATACACAATTATTACAAAGAAATAAAATGAATAAAAATGCCTCAAGTTCACTTTTAATTGTGTGCATTAATTTAGCATTTTAGATCCATTTGGGTGTTTGGCTATATTTGAGGCTTTCCAGTACATGGCTTTTTGAGCAACTTTAAAAATTCATTAAAAATCCAAATTCAATCGGAATCAGCTAAAACTTAATACACAACATAAGGACAAGTATACATATCAAAAAATAT